ACCAAATTACGCATAATTTATCTGAGAATAAGATCCTGAAGTCAGAACCAAGATAGAATTTGCGGTTTTGAAATAATCTAGCAAAAACCTGTCCTAGTTATGCCTGTCCATAGCTTTATATGTATATAACCTATTAATAATTAATAAAAATATTTATTTATTTATTTCATATAATAATTATAAATGAATAAATAACTAAAGATTTACCATTAATAGCCCAAACATAACATCCTAGCCCTCCAGGCGCTTGATCTCGGCACCCAAGTCCTTAATAGCCGTCTCCAACAGCTCCTCCGCCTTCTTAACCAACGGTGACGTCTCGTCCAACTTTTTCAACTCTTCGGCCCCTTTAGCTACCAGTGCCTCCAACTTCTCCAAACCCTTAGCCTCTAGTGCCTTACCCTCAGCCTTAAGCTTATCGATCAGCTCCAGGGCCTCCCGTCTCAATTTCGACGCCTCAATGAGTAGCTCATCGATGATCTTATCAGTGGCGGCACCGGTAGGCTTGCCCTCCAGTCGCTTAATCTCTACGGCCACTTCATCCCGGATATTATCAGCCATGGTCTGTGTGCATGGTACTATTCTCGGGCGATTCTCCTCGATCATTTCGATGAGGTTCTGGGCGTTTAGTTTGTAGTTCTCAAGGGTGGTGCCCTCTGATGACCTACCTGCTTTTTTGAGTTTAGCAAGCTCATCGTCGATGTTTTTTATGGTGGCGTTTATGCCCTTTTCGATATCATCCAGGACGTCGTTTTTGCGGAATACAACGGTAGGGTATGCCTGGCATACTTGATATTGGAGTAGTTTATGATGTACATGGTTAAATTAATTTTACTGAACTAGTTACCTCAATAAATTATGATTAACTGTATAGTTAAGACTTAGATTTATACATAATTACCGGTATATAGAAAGAGTGTTCATATAACAAAATATATATTTCAATATGCTTTAATATAATACTTTAATATAATGCTAATAGTGAGCTAGATTATTATAAGTTATAGTAAAGCACAATTAAAACATGTTTTTTTAATTAAACTCATTAATTGCTTATAAGTTTTAACATTAATGTAATTTTTTGTTCTGGTTACAAATTAAATATTATTCAAAACTTACCAAGAGCTGCTGATAAGCACACAAGTGAAACAATAGTTAATTTATATATTTAACAAATAAAATTTTTAATTAGCTTTTATATATTATTAGTTGTTTATATAATCTTTGTATTTTACTTGAGTTTACATTTATCTGAACCTGGTTGTGGTTGTTGTTGGCAGTCATCAGTCTGGGTAATTTGCAACAAAATAGTGTCAAGATATGTGTTTATCATTTGAGCTTCCTGGTCTGTGCAATTTTCCTAGATGAATTATTTAATAATATTTATCAATTCAAATAAAATATAACTTTACTAGTATATTTGTTTTTCAAAAGTAAACGTATATATTTATAAACGCCAGAAATATATAAGTTTTTAAAATATTAATCTAAAATCTAAATACCATGGTGTTTTCTACTCACTTTTGGGTCAGCTTGCATGCACGCATTAATGTCGTATTGAGTACAACAATAAGCACGATCTAGATCATTTAAATGTTCCTTCCAGAGTTCATATGAATTAAAATAACATGATACAAATGTCGAAATAAATCCCTTCGTAGGCAGATCTCGGTTATGTCATCTAGGTTACCGGCATCAACCATAAATGAGCTAGCACATAATATAACTGCGATAACTGTACTGTGTAACATGTTTGTATTTAAGCAAATGAATTAAATATATTAATATTCTGAATATTTAAAAAGGATATTGTTACATTATTTACAATATAATTATTTACGAGACCTGCACTAACCTTGTAACTCTATTTGTAACACCTGTTAAATTTAGGCAGACTATTATTATGATTGTTATTTAAATTAGATGATTACTTGAATGTCTAAATTTAATTTATAACACCTTTCGAATGAATCATGCGATTTAAATATTTTAAAATTAATTGCATGATAATATTTTTATTTTAGAATAAATTCTAAACAATTTTTAAAAAGTTGAGTCTTAAATTATAAAAAAAAATTTAATTAAATTTTTAAATTATTATTTAATCACCACAATTTTGTTAAAAATTAATTATTAAACTATCATTATATAATTATCATTACTATTTTATTTTAATATAACAAATATAATTGGATCTCTTACAAAAATAAATACTTTATAATCTGGATAACTTTAGAAAATATTTGTAACTACATTTAGTACATTTAGTAACAAAATATAAAAGTAATTACACTAGGCTAATCATAAAATTATATTTTTAAAATAAATTAATTCTATGTTTATCATTTAATATTTTTAAATATAATAATAATGATCAACAAAATAAATTTAAAACTATTGACCAGATAAATAAAAGCATAAATATTACAAAATATAATGTGTGCTTTTATAAAATGCTAAATGTTTTACGATAAGATTATGTATGTTTTCAAAGAATATTACAATGAAATATTTATATTAAAATTCAAGGTTTAAATGAGATTGCGATTAGAGCTGACACTCGACTCCATACTATTACACATACTTAACAATTTAGGTGTCACTAAAATTTCTTTCAAATCAATTCTCATTTGGTGTCCAATCGACAATCAAATTATACTATAATTCAAGATGTCATCAATCAGAAGTTTGACTGTATTAATAGCCATCATAGTGATCAAGGTGGGAGTATTACGAGCAAAGTGTCCGTCACGTGACTATTCGTGGTGTGTTTCGAGGGACGGCAACGACAGTGTAATCCTCTACGGAAATCGCTTCCCAGACGTGAAGCCAGTGTTGGGACATATAAGCAATCTATTGGACGGTGACACCGACCACAAGAAGTTTAATCACTTCAGGCTCTCCAACAACCATGAGGTCAGACGACTGGAGGCCAACACGTTCGCCGACCTAACCTTCAACGCGATCGTGATCCTAAATTGCACTAAA